CTAAACTTTTGTTCTTTGAAACAGGAGCGGCAGAATTCATCTCAACTCAAGGATGATCAAAGACGTCGTGAGAAAGAAATTATTAATGATCTCCTTAGTGTCAAAGAGATAAATATTTCTGCAAAGCAATGCCCTTCTTGTAAGATGGCCATCTCTCGGACTGAAGGTTGCAACAAGATGGTATGTGGTAATTGTGGACATTATTTCTGCTACCGCTGCAATAAGGAAATTGATGGATATGATCATTTCAGGTTTGAAATTCACTCTCTATTAGCTTCTTACATGCCTCTATATGCTAGTTTGTTTTCTAATCTGTTTGGCAACTCTTGAGCTTCTTCTTATTAAAGGGATGGAAGTTGCGAACTTTTTCCACCTGAAACTATTCAGCATTGGGAAGAGAGAATGAATGCTCGTCAAGTTGTGGGTCAGATCCAAGCTGAAATGTTTCCAGAGCGTGGTCACTCATGCCCTAATTGTGGTCAAATAAATCTAAAGGTTAGAGAAATGTCTTCATATTTTGAGGCTTAATATTTCTGCAACCTTGCTATAGCTATTATTCATGATAGTATAGAGCTCGAGCATCAAATTTGTTAAATTGATTCCTTAAGCTAGAAGCATAGCAATATCATTAGCATAGAGAATTGTGGCATGAATGCCAAAGAGGAATGAGTCGATATCTCCTGCCTTCTTCAATAACTCCACTCATTTAAATGGGTGTTTCCTATTTCTACTAAGTTACACCATGGAAATGACAGATTGTATCTTTTGTACCATCCTCAATTAAACAATATGAGCAAATAGAAAATGCAGGACTGTAGAAAAGACGAAGGGAATTCTTAAACTGAACTCTCATGTGTTGCAGAGAAGATTATGAAGCAATTTCTAACTCTCTGCTGCATATTGAAACTATATTAATCATCAAGAAAAAACGATTTGAGTATCTAAAAACCATTTCAAAGGTATGGACCTGAGTATGTTACTGGTACTTGGCCATTCATAAATTATCTGTTTGTTCCGTAATTGCAGGTAAAATGAATGCTCATCATGCTAAATGAAGAATCTAGTTAACAATGATCTTTCTTAATGGACAGCAAAATTATCAAACAAGTATATCAAAGTAGTATCTTGGCAGTGGAAAACCATTTAGCTTGAATTCATATGAACTTAAAATAATCTTGCCTTTTGAACTGCCATACCTTGTCAACAATCTGCTGTAAGTCTTGAAGTTTATTTTGAAAGCAATCTTGGTTTCCCTTTAAAATCAAATATGGGCAGAAGTAGAAGATTTTCCAATCAATTGCTGTAAAATTTTCTTTCTCCAATCTTCGTCTTTGTCGTTTGCAGTTATAAAAAACTTTGCTTGTTATTACTTTTAGTTGTAAACTGACCTTTCTGTTATCTTTTCCAACTTGTGGAGTTGATATCTGATTGGTCCTCTTTTTCCCTTTCCGATCCTCTGGCAGGCCGGGAACAACAATCACATCTTCTGCTGGGCATGCCAGAATCATTACTGCTATTTGTGTAGAAAAATGGTGAGACGTAGCGCCCAACATTATGGACCAAAGGGTTGCAAACAGCACACTGTGGGATGACTACGATTAAGTCACCAAGTTCTAGTACCTTGGAAAGCATATGCTATATACAACAAATGCATACCAAACCTGTGCTTTTTAGATTCCAACAGAGTTAATGGAATTCCCATGAAACAGTACTTTCTTGCATCAAATCAGGACGTACCAGAATTTTGTATTGCTTTTCTTCAAATTTCACTCGTTAGAGCTTCTTACTCTTTACTTCCAATTTCCGTGATTTGTAGATTTCTACATGCTGAGTGCTGTTGTATATCCTCAGTTTTGGGTTATACATCTTTTTTTTTTTTTTTGTCACTCTTATATAGAAAAATGCCAATTGTAAAATTTCTCTACATTTTGGTCCCCCTCGAAGTTACGATTATTCTGAAGTTCTTTCTCCTAAATTTCTATCATTTTGAAGTTTGTCGATGCAGTGCAAATGGGATTTTCTCATTTCTTGAAGCTGAAAAAGAATCACGCTGATTAATACTCAAATGCCATGCTTTTCAAATTGCCTACAGATGATCAAAATGGATGAGCAATGCACTTGTTTTAGTTTTAACTATTTGAGATCAGGGCTTGCTGTTGTTTCTTCACCATTGTGCTCCAAGAAACACTCACCTGTATGAGGAACGGACAACAATTTTACATGTAGTGTAGGGCTGCAAACGAGCCGAGTTGAATCGAGATTTGGGCTAATCGAGTCGAGTCTCGATTAAATTTTATTAAGTTCGAACTCGAGTTTGAGCTTGACGAGCCGGCAATTTAAAGTTCGAGCTCGATTCGAGTCGAGCTCGAGCTCGAAAAAAAATAAAAAATAATTATTTTATTTTTAAAAAATAAATAAAATAATATTTTTTCTTAATAAATAATAAAATACTAAGGATATATATGTAATTTTACAATTAAAATAAGAAAATAAAAATATATATATACTTAAAATAAAAAAAATAAAAAATATTATATATATATATATATATACTCGAGCTTGCGAGTTGGCTCGCGAGCTAACGAATATTTTGAGCTCGAGTTCGACTCGAACTTGATATTGATCGAGCTCGACTCAAGCTTGACTCGAGCTGCTCGCGAGCGGCTCGATTCGTTTGCAGCCCTAATGTAGAGCAAGTAGAAGCCAAAAGAATGCACCACTGGTTTGCCATAAAATTCAACCTATCAAGAAAAATGCACTACTTGAAAGATCGGAAAGCATGAAAGGAAATTAGATTATAAACTTTCAAACACAATAATCAAACTTAAACCTCCAGTAGCAAATTTAATGATAGCCAAATTCATCGACCATGAAAGCTGAGGATTTTTTTAGTTTGGTGTTTAAAAAAAAAACCAATTTAAAGATACCCAAATTAATCGGCCATGAAAGTCAAGAATTCTTTTAATTTGGTGTTCAAAAAATCATACCAAACTGAGATCAAGAAATTTTTTTGTCAATTTTAGATGTTATAGCATTGCTTTTATGATGTGAATATCTATGTCCATACTATAAATAAATCTTAGGGCCTAATGGTATTACAATCATTTTGTGATCTACATTTTCTACCCTCACAATAAAGGGCATACCGATGCAACCATTCTCATATACATACATACATACATATATACATATATACATACATACATATATATATATATATATATATATATATATCTGACTATAATATAAGAATCAGTTGGTTCTACTGTAACTCCTTCAGGCACTGCTATGTGGTACAATGAGACTTGAAGTTTGAATTTCTTTTGCTGTCTTGACCTTTGTTCTGCCATTATAAGAATCCAAACGGGCTGCAAATTTTGGGCCATGGAATAACGATATGATATGAAGTATGGTAAGAGAAGGGCAGTCCAGTCACTTGCTATGAAAAAAAAAAAAAAGAAAAACAGTGTAGACAATCTGTTTTATGCTATTAAAATCAAAGAAAAAAGTAGGCTTATCTCTGTTTGGATTGATAATTTTTTCAAAAATAATTTTTTCAAATACAATGCTACAGTAATACACAATAACTCAAAAAAAATCTCATCCATGCAATATATCAAATATTTCAAATAATTTTTATAGTAAAATTTTTTTCATATACACTGCTACAGTATTTCGAATTTGTATTTTAAGTTTTTTCTATTTGTTTGGGATTTAGAGGGAAAAAAAATCTACCAAAACTTATACTATGGCTCTGATATAAAAAAGTATAAGAGAAACAAAGCTCTTTTATTTTTATTTTTGTTTTGTCGGATGAATTCTTTATTGTCAATTTTGAGCTGTTGGATTTGAATTTATCAATTGTTCTTCTCTTAGTCACCATTGGATTGTTAACTTTGTGATGCACTTTGCCAGAGTTTAAAACCTTTGACCATTATTTTTTAGATATTGTCCCTTATTTTTAAATAGATAGGCGGCAAGCTTTATTTGAGATGAAAATCAAAGAGATTTCTATCATATAATGTCCACAAGGTGAATTAAGAAAATCTCCAGAAAATGAGCTTCAAATCCTCTAATTATTTGTTTTCTTCACAATATAATTCAATAGTGCAACCTCATGCAAAAAATAAATAAATAAATAAAAGGACTATACTATTCCAAGCTAACAGAAATAAAAACTAATTTTTCATATATAATTGAATGGTTTCTATACTATAAAAAATAAAGAGTTTGAAATAAATACTTCTTTAGAGAATAACAAAACTGGTATATTTTTTAAACAACCATGCACATTTTTCTTTGTACTACTATAAGGTGACAAAAAAAAAAAACAATTCGTGAAAAAAATATGCACATCTTTCTTTTTGTTATTAAACACCAACTAGGTTGTCACCTCTAAATTATGAAAACACTTATATGTTTTGTTATTTTTTCCAAAAAAATATGATTGCAACTACCACGAATATATTACTTGGTCAATTGGTACATTGAATACTTTTCAGTGGACACTGGCTGTGCGTAGCATAGCGTAGCTTAACTAGTATATATACATACATATGTATGTATATGTGTATGTATATATATATATATATATGTGTGTGTGTGTATACCAAAACTAATCATCTTTACGTTTTAATTTAAACAGATTCTCTAACAATAGTATATATACATACATATGTATAAATATGTGTGTGTGTATATATATATATGTATCCCAAAAAACTAATCATCTTTACATTTTAATTTTAACAGATTCTCTAACAAATTAACTTTTATAGTTCAAACTTTAAAACTAATTTCTACAAAAAAAAAAAAAGAATTGTACAAATAAACATATCTATATCATTTGTCTACACGTTGTCGTAATCATTAATCAGAACATATGTAAATTCGGGAAGTCCAGGCCCAAATGTGAGGACCGCCGAAAGGTCCAATAGCCAAAACCCAAGGTCACAAGTCAGAGAGAACTCCAGAGGGCGGCAGAGTGGGGAGAAACTTGAAAAATAGTTGTGTTGCTGCCTTTGACGTTCAGCAAAAGTGCCTGCAAACGCCACCAAGCCATAACAATATAGCTCGAAGGAAAAAAAAGTGGCACCCACGCCCACGCTGCTAGTCTCATCTCACAGGTATCTTCAATTCTAGGACTTCTGAGTTTTCCGTCTTCCTAAAGGCAGGAAGATAAGACGACCCTTTACTCCGTTCTTCAAGATTGTTTCTCAAATTTGTGGTATTGAATTGAAATTTTTTGTCCTTTTTATTGATTTTCATCTGGGCTGGTCAGAATAGCAAGAATATGAAATTTAAGTATCTGGGATGTCTTTATTTTCAGTTAAGAGTTCAAGTTCTTGGGTTGAAGTAGTTAGAGGCATGGTCTCAACTTAGAATGCTATGGAGAAAGGGACTTTCTTGCTTTTTAGCGTCAGAAGAATTATGCTGGTAAGTTTGGCTGTGTTTGAAAGAAGAAAAGGTCGAACTTTTGCTTCATGGGTCTGTGCTTATTTTCAAAAAAATCTTACCTTGACTTGATTTTCTCTGGTTTATTCGAATTGAGGTCATTTAAGAGGCCTGTTATTGTTAAAGCTAGCAGCTTTACTAAACTGTATAGAGGTGCTTCTGCTCTTCTGCTTCTAGATGATTATGATTCTGGCTCAAATAGTGATAGCTCTTTAGTAGTGAATGAAGTAGCTGTTCCAGAAAATAGGCTGCATACATGTGACGGGCTCCAGTTGCTTTCCGTTGTGGTTAGAGTTATAAAGTCGTTGAACTGGCGAGCTGCAAGAGAGATGAGGTTCAGAGAATCCGTAGAGAAGTATGGTTTTCCATTTTCTATTGACGCCTTTAGGATGACAGTGCATGTATTTGGGTTTGCTCGAATGCCAATGGAAATGCATGGTTTGCTTAGGGATGTTTTATATTATTATCAAGATGTCGGTTATGATATGTTTGAGTTGCTTCCAAGTATGTTAGAATTGCTCAATGATGCGGAAACCTCGGCTGTTCTTGTTGATGTCCTTATAAAGCTTTTTGCTGCCAATTCTATGCTTGAAAATGCAGTTGACGTGTTTTTCCAGGCTCAGAACATTGGCGTTCAGCCTGGTATACGGTCATCTAATTTCTTGCTTAAGTGCTTGGTAGAAGGGAGTAGAAGGCAAGAACTTTCAACTTTATTTGAGGAAATGAAGAACTCTGGGCCATCTCCTTCTGTCTATACGTATACAATTCTGATGAATTTCTACTGTAATGAGCAATACGCACAAGACAAGGTGGATATGCAACAAGCCACTTCAATTCTTGAAGAAATGGATAATAATGGTATTGAGCCATCTGTTGTAACATACAGTACATATATTCATGGACTTTGTAGAGTTGGATTTGCTGTTTTAGCCTTGAAGCTTATCCAGGACTTGAAGCATAATAACCAGCCCCTCAATGTTTACTGCTACAATGCTGTAATGCATGCAATTTGTAGAAATGGTAAACCAGATGAAGCTATGGGACTTTTGGGAGAAATGAGGAGTTATGGAATCACACCCGACGTTTATAGCTACAGCATTCTAATTGATGGGTTCTGTGAATGTGGAGAGATTGAGAAAGGTCTTACTTTATTTGAGGAGATGGAGAGCCCTGAAGTAAATATAAAACCATCTCTTGTTACCTATAGCTCACTCTTAAAAGGACTATCTGGGATTGGACTGATGGAAGCCTCAGTTGACATGTTCCATAGGCTTGGAAGTTATGGATACAAATATGACCAGCATGCATTCAGCATCCTAATAAGTGGATATCTTATGCAGGGCAATTTGGATTCTGCCCATGAACTCCTGGAGGAGATGATCAGAACTAATTTGACTCCTTGTGCTATAGATTATAAAAACTTGATCAATGGTTTCTGCAGGATTGGTTCAATTGATAAGGCCTTGCAATTGTTCAATACTGTGAAAGACTCAGGAGTACGGCCTAATACTTTAACTGTCAATGACATTGTAAGTGGGTACTGCATGGAAGGAGATATCAGGGAAGCTTTGGAATTTCTTGAAGAAATGACGGACCAAGGCATCAACCCCAACATTTATAGTTACAGTATAATAATAAATAGGCTGTGCAAGGAAGGAAAATCTGAATATGCGTTGGAGCTTATCCCTATGATGCTTAAAAGGAATATATTACCAAATGTTGTAGTTTATAGCACTCTCGTAGATGGTTTTGCTAAACAGGAAAAGTTAGAGAAGGCCTTAATGTTGTATACAAGAATGATAAAGTTTGGTGTTACTCCCAACACAATCACTTTTACTATCCTCATAAATGTATTATTCACCATGGGTAAAGTGAAAGAGGCATATAATTTGTTTGAAAAGATGATTTTGAATGGCCTGGATCCTGATAGGATATGTTACACATCAATTATAGCTGGATTGTGTAAGATTGGATATGTGAAGATCGGTTTGAAGTTGTTTGAAGAAATGCTGCAGAAAGGCCATATGCCTTCAGTTGTTACTTATACTTGTTTAATTGATGGTTTTTGCAAACAAAATCGAATGGATATTGCAACCATGTTGGTGGATAAAATGAGAAGACACAACATGTCTCCTGATGTGGTGACTTATGATGTTATTATTCATGGATACATTAGGAAGGGACAAGTGCACAAACTTCATTATTTATTTGACGAAATGAGAAAGGAAGGCATTGTTCCTGATGATATTATGTGTAAAACACTAGGGCTAATTGGCTGTAGATAAAGGATGTTAAGCTGCAGAACATGCTTTTACTAAGAGGGTTCTGGTGACCTTCTTAATCTGTGGCAGCTGTTTTGTTCAATACCTCTGCAAAGGTTGGAGATGTGACCACTTTATCCTTCTTGCAGCTGGCTTGGTGGAGCCCAAACTGGGTAATGGTCTTTCTTGTGAATCTTTTTGTGTCTGGATATGTCGATTACTGCATGTCAGCAATGTAAAACTAGAGATTCTTGTTAACATGGAAGGGTACAAGTATGCTGCCTTTGGGATAATTATTAGGAATAGATACCCATGTACTTTTCGATAGGACTAATTGATGTAATGCAGTAGTTCTTATTGAAGGTTGAAACTCTATGCTTTCCAGGCAAGTGAGTAGCACTCTTTGCTTCCAGGAGTAGAATTTAAAGAAAACTAGTACCTTGTGTATCACAGTTACCATTTCTTCAAAAAAGGGTTAGTTCCTTATTTTCGTAAGCTTTATGGTTTTAATGGACGAGATCCTGTTTCATGTCCTTACAAATACTACCACATTTCCACCCTGGAATAGGTTTCACTCTTGTTGCCCGGAGAATTCATTCCCTTGAAACACACACACAAAGTTTCTGTCCTTTAGAATGTTGGTCGAACACAGAAGATTATAGAATGTCAATCTTGTTGCACCTACTATGTCAACTTTAGGGAAGTATTCCATTTTGCAGTTGTTATCAGTTCTGAAGCCTTAATTGTACCCAATCACTTAAAAACTCAACCTGGGAAGCAGTCTCTGCTTTCTGAAGGTCTTCCTAGCATATACTGCTAGCATGACTTTAGATGTGCGACATTCTTTTTCGTACACGATCATCCTCAACAGCACTAGACAGCAGCACGTAATGGTCTTCTTCACATTCTGCTAAGAAATGCTAGTATTGTGGGACCTTTAGCTATATATTGTAATTGGCTATTTAAGAAACCTGCTTCATTGTCTATGCATCTGCACCATTGAAACATTGAAGTAAAGTTTAACTGTTTTGAAGTCTGCAATTGTATTGTTTCTCTGGTGTTGTCCCATATTAAGTGACCTTTTCTACATTGTTGCCGCTGTATGGAATTTCTTTCATCTGCTAGTTTTATCCTCATATATTTCCTTCAACTGAAACTGAGCATACAGATGGTGTGCTATCAAATTATCATTATTATCCTATTTTGGTAGCATGTTTTCAGCACTTCTCTCTCTCTCATAGTAGGTCTGGATTTCTTTAAAGTGTTACAGTGCAAATGAATGATGTAACTAACTATAGCTTTCCTCGGTCAGATTGAAGGAAGGCCTTAGCATGAATGGGGAATCTCTGAACTGTGGCTGTTCCCATCAGGTTCTTTTTGGCAAGCACTCTGGTACAGTACTAAGCTTTAACACATCTCTCTCTCCCTCTATCTCATAGTAGTTATGGATTTCCTTCGAGTGTTAAAGTGCAATGCTGAAATTGTAATTAAGTCTAGCTTTGCTCTGCCAGATTGAAGAAAGGACTTAGCATGAAAAGAGAAATAATCTCTAATATGTGGCCTGTGCCCATCAGGTTCTGTTTACTAAGCACTCTGCTATGGATACTTTGTCCCCCTCTTCATCTCAAACACAAGCAGATGCATTCTTGGTTCAAATTATGCATCATTTTCCTTTCCCTTTCATTAGACTGAGTGAATAAAGGATTGGATTTCACCATCATGTGCGCTGGCAGACTTCAAATGCAGAAATGTAGTGTGAGAAAGTTTTGTCTGTTGTTGTCCAACGAGTTGTATGATTAAAAGAGCCAAGTGTGATACCAAGGCCACCTTTGGTAGGTCATATTTCTTCTATTTTACAACCATTTTCTATAAATGTTTATGTCTCATCTCATTTGCATATGTTTATCAACATGAATGCGTTCACAGGTAGCTGCATTCAATTCCATTTATTTCTTTAGAGGAATTCTGGATTGATGCAATCTCTTAATATCAATTAGAAGGGTTAATGCTGTGGAAACTCAAGTTAAAGAGTGGTGCCTTGAGAATTCTACTTACATCAGATGGTAAGCTTCAGACAATCTTCAACTTGCTATAGATCAGGAATTCCTATATTTTGTTCTTGCTTATGGTCAGAACAGTATCAGATAAATGTGAAACCAACTGGTAAATTCCCCCCCCCCCCCCCAAAAAAAAAACCAAAAAAAGGCACAAAAACAAAAAAGGGAATCATGGTGTGGTTTTATAACTTGTGTGAAATAAAGGACAAACTAGTATTTCAAATTGAAGGACTGTGCAGTATGTCAATAAATATTCTGGAATATGTATTACGGAGCCTGAAATCTTGGTAGATATTGTTTCCATATTCACAATCTCGTCTTTCACATGTAGGACAAACAAGAGCTAAAAATTGAAACATAGAGTCCACACACGTATGAAGATTTACAAATGGATCAACATACAGTCCACAAACATTGGAAGGTGGACAAATAACATGTCTAGTAATCTTCAAGGTTGTCAACAGCATCTGGCCTCACAGAAGCGTGCTTAATCACACCAATCAGATACTGTCCCAAGCCATTGGAGCTGCCATTGTACTGTGTACCACTAGTTAGTCCAACAGTAACATATGGAAGTTGTACATATTTGCTTTACTAGTTAACTGGTATTAAGCATAATGTGGTGGAGATTATGTTTTCGGTAAATTTGTTCAATCTTTGATGCATTCAAATGTCCACTTATTTCAGTTAAATGTAAGTCTGAGTTTAAACATGTAACTTGACAAAGTGGAAAGTGAAGTAGAACTGAAAATTGACACAAAAAACCTTAAAGCTCCAAGGTAGGAAAACCTAGATGTGCTGATGCTTTATATACTCTTGTGTTGTCTTTCTCAGTGAGGATTCCACTGGCACTGGTAACATTGTTTAGTTTTGTTGTTGTGATTAGCAGTAGTTCTATGCTTGTTTTCCTCTTGGAGATCAAAGCAGATATGTTGACTAAGGCCAGTGTAGAAGCCAAAACTTAGCTTGTAGCCTGTTTCTACATGTATGCTTAAGCCAAACATGAAAAGTAATTGGATTAAAGCCTGGAGGTTGATTATTTCATTATTCTTTGCACTGTTGCTCGTGAATATAAAGCAAGAATATTTTGACTGAAGTATCACACAGACCAGGAATAGAAGTCTACCTGCTTTGGCAAGGTTTGAATTTTCATCACAACCAAGTGCCCAGAAAAATTACCCACCAAGACCCTGAGCCTTGGCAAACCTGATTTTATTTTTGATTGATCTGGTATCATCATATCCGATCCAGTTGGTTCCAGTATACGAATAGGTTGATACTGTTGTGTGATCATATACCACGGTAGTAGCTTTGTTTGCTAAATTGAAGTCCACTATATCTTTATATGCCATAATACCTCCATTTCCAGGACCAACTCTCACAGCGGGAGCTCCATGATCGTTTGGGCCCTTTAATTGCCATGTCCTGCCATATGCTGGCATGCCCATGACTTGCTTTGTCAAGGGAACACCATTCTTCCATGAAGAAACTCCATAGCTAGTGCTGACATTACTAGACCTTGTCATAGACCAGCGCATGAGCCCCAGTTACTGCAGCGTTCCAAGCACCATGGCAGTCAGAGCACATGGGATTCAGAGAATCAACATATTTCCTAATGGCAGAACCAGGATAGGCATATGGCAATTCAGCTAACAAGAATCTAGAAGCAAACAGCTGCAGATGTCAGGAGTCGAGGTTTGCCTGAGGCAAGTGACTCCTTTTCTAATGCAGCACGTCACTCCTTGAAGAGCATTGCAAGGTTTGTCATGTCTTGTCTGCTGTTTGGAAATTCCCAATCAAGATCAAGACCGTCAAGCCCATACTTTCTAGCTGCATCTATGGTAGACTGAGTGACTGCACCGCGAATTCCTGGATTGCTTACCATGTTGTAGAAAGTGCAAGGACTTGCTGCTCCTCCCCTAATGGACTGGAAGGGTCTTTTGCTGTTGCATTTCTTCTATGGAATGTGGCTGTGAAGTTTCCCATCCATTGACCATCCGGTTGCGTTATAGAAAGCTGGTATGTTGTGGCGTCAGGTTCGGCAAAGGCGTAGAAGAGGAGAGTGAAATACGAAGTTGGTATGCTTGATGGAGGAAGCATCTCTACTATCTTGAACCTCAAAAATATACATCTTACCCCCTCAAATCAACAACCCCTGTGCATAATTTTCTTCCTAAATGACCCCGATTTTCCTAGTTTCTCAACGATCAACGTTTAGAATGTTGCATTTTCCTCTTATGTGTTCATCATAATATGTATATTATGATGTTGGATTACAGTATAAATTAAAATTTTTTTTTTTTAAAAAAAACTCCCTCTACTTTGGCCTTATCTCCATCCTATTCCACTGTCATGTCAGTGCTCTTGTGTTGGTCACTACTCTTTTTTCGTTTGACCTATTTAAAAAAAAAATATATATATATATATATATATATATATATAATTCTAATAAAAATTGCAATTATCAGTCTTTTGAATTAGCTAAAAATTCAACATTAAATCATGAAAATTACTTTAATATTTTGAATTCATTTTTTCACATTTGATACTATGCAAAATATAAATCAATACACATTAATTTTTTTTAACAAACAACGTAACATGTAACAAATAAAAAGTCAAGTAAATTAACATAACAAAATCATATTTTACTATGAATATAATAAATTGCAAAGTAAAGGTACATTATTTTATCACAATAAACTATCATATTATTTATTTTAAATTATGATATATACATACATATTAGTCTTATACTGCACTATATATAAGGCGGGGGGACAAGGAGGCGGATGTAGTCCCATTCAAACCGATGCTAAATTATACATAAGTCTATGTAATAAGTTAATTAAACCACTGCCTAACATCACATCATGCAGTAACAAAATATTTCGATGAATATATAATAAGAAAACGCAACAAGTTAAAAGTTGATTATTAAAAAAGTAGGAATGTTGAGGCTAATTTGGGAAGAAAAGTATGCACATGAGTTTGTCAAAATTAAAAGTACAAACATGATTCACTTATGGGAACAAAATGTAAATTTTTGAAGCTTAGGGTGGTAAAGTGTTACAACCCCAAAAGCTCATGAGGGCAAAGTGTTATTAACCCTTCAAGATATTATAACTTTCCTGAAATAGAATTTGAACCCCACTGCTTCCATATAATGGAGTTTGCCAAGAATATGAGCCTCATTGTTTTGGTTCTTTTTGGACAAGCTGCCTTTTCCCAAAGGAATTTTTTGATTGTTACATGCATAGAAAGACGCTGGTTGATCTGGTTTTAGACCAATGTCACAATCAAAGACCATTCCACAAATAAGCTGCCCCCAACCAAGTACGGATTACTCCGCTCGTTTGACATTATTTATTCATTATTATTAGTCAACACAAGTTGGTTCAGTTGGTAAGAACGGATTAATTCTTCACAAAACGTCGTGTATGAACGATTTGTAAAAATCTCTGTAACTTATGATTCTGAAAACTTACTCTAACCTCTAGTAGTAATCGAAGTCGAATCTATCCAAATTTTTTTTCTATAAAAAAATCATTTATTATTATACCATACGTCATTCATTCTTCGTGCCCTTGTACGCCCCAACATTCAAAACAAGAAAAAAGGGAGACAAGAAAGCTGTTGATTATGGGGTCAAACTGTTTGCCAATTGGCCAGCCTTTGTGTTATTAAATGCATTTTGAAAAAGGTTATAAGCATTTCCTTTTCTGGCTAAATATGTGTTTTAAGTGTGCAAGTGACTCTAGCAATTTGAGAATAAAAGCTGGAAGATGTCATTTGGCAATCATTCAAACAGGTAAATGATCCTAAGTGCAAAATAACGATTCTTCTTGTTTTGTTTGACCATCCACCCAGCCAAAGCTATTTTCAATTGAGATGAAGCATAAAGCCATAAATACGTTGTACGCAATTTTAAGCGATTTTGCTGAACTATGATTGTTTGCAGAATTTATTTTTTAATTTGTTCTAGGCTGCTCCTTAGAAATTTATCATAGACTTTGTTTTTTTTTTTTTTTTGGGCTCCTGATTTTTAGAAGGGAATATCAGTGTATATTATGGAAAATAAATTAGAAATTAGGACTCACGGTACTAACAAAATTTTAAATAAAAGATCGTTGTTTATGCTATATATAGTTATTATATTAAAAGCAACCAAAGGGATCCGTGGCGCAATGGTAGCGCGTCTGACTCCAGATCAGAAGGTTGCGTGTTCGATTCACGTCGGGTTCAAAATCCCCGATCCTTGGTCCCTGTCCTTTTCCTCTCTTTTTCCCTTTCGGACACTAATTGTTTATTTTATGCTAGATATATTTATTATACTGACAGCAACCAAAGGGATCCGTGGCGCAATGGTAGCGCGTCTGACTCCAGATCAGAAGGTTGCGTGTTCGATTCACGTCGGGTTCAAAATCCCCGATCCTTGATCCCTCTCTTTTTCCCTTTCGGACGCCAATTGCTTATGACAAGCGAATTGATTTATCAATGATTTTGGATTTACCCAATTGAAGAATCTGCAAATCACCTCAAGCCTCTAAATCAGAGGGCTTAAACTCTTGGATGACCTTTCTTTTTCTTTTTCTAGACACTTTTTGGATAATCTTATTGGGCGAGAAAATTTTGAAAGAGAGATAAATTTGAGAAGAATAAAATGACCAATTAAACTCGCTTGAAAAAAACGACACCGCTATTCACCAGTCTGGTATTGTATACCAACCCCATAATGTTACGGTGCCTTCCAGCAAACAAGAACGAATACTCATTCCATTCAAGTTCGAAATGCCAAAAGGCAAAAGAATAAATGAGCCAAGCATTTCTATTTTGAATGTGACATTCGGACAGAATTTGGGTGGGGAGACATAAGTTGCATTGTGAGTAATGTCAGTTTCAGCCTACACTCAGAACAAAAACTTGGTACACAAGCAATTGGATCCTCCTTTTTGCACTTTCTACCACCTCAATACCACAGCAAGTGCTTGTCATTTGTAGGTTATGCTGTCAATCATTGACAGTGTTGTCATCCACCTCTGGCTTGACAAAGAACTCGATATAAGCAATGCGACTCGGTTGCTGATAGCCAGCATAATCAACATGGGAATGTGAAACAGGGGGTTTTGCAACTGAAACTAAGTGCTGAACTTTTAGCATTCCACCTCTCCCTATGGTCAACTTGCTTCCTCGATTATCTCTTATTACACTGCCAGGAATGTTTGCAGTTGTCGCACGAAGAAATTTGTATTTATACCTTCCACAAAAGCCAGATTAGAGCAAGTAGCAGAAATATGAACTGATTTCCAATCATAAAACCAGTGGTATTGACTGAAACCTGTAAGAGATTTGACGATCACAGCTGAAAGCAATCAAGAGATCAGTGTTGGCATAGTACATGAAGTCTATCTGCAAGAAAGAAAAGGGGAAATCCTGTAAAGCACGGTACACTCTTGCAGTATACTTGCTCATATGGAAACAAGCAAAACCTGTAAATCGCCATGGCCTTCACCTCTAAAGGTGACACATGGAGGATTTGGCTGAAGAGTTATCTGAATGCTTGATCCTGGCCACTCAAGATCATCAATAGCTTCCTTTAAAGCTGCAGACTACAAATTGAAAGCCCAGCATACAGTAAAGAAGTGGTATATAGTATAAAAACAGAAGGTTTTTGGATCAATGTTTTATAGGTTGAAGTTGCATCCAAACTCTGCCTGATTTATCAGAAAAACATTACTTTGCCATCATCTTTAAGATTTAGAAGCACATTAAATTTGTTGGATTTATCTGAATGAATGAATGCAGGCAAAATGAGATTCTGTTACCGGGAAAAAGATATAGCTCTTCAAATATATTAAATGACAACCCATATCATGATGAAGATCTAGCAATACAATCAGAGTGCTGGATATTGCTCACGCAAAGATAAATATTTAAAAGGGAAAAGGCAAATTCACTTTAAAAGAAAGAAGTTGGCCTTGCTTGCCCGTATTTGCACAATAAAACACTTTCTTATTGTTAGCTACTCCATAAGAGTGCTGGTTAAGAGAAGAAAAAAGTACCTTAACAGTGAAATGGAGAGGAGTGCTTCCAGCAGGTTCAAAGTTGTAGTCCCAAGAGATCGTGTCAGGGATCCTTGTTCTGACCTCCGCATAAATGCAAGCATCCAATGAATCAACTGACCTGTCCCCCCAAAAACACGCAAGAAAAAAGAGGCAAAACAAATAAAAGTTTGTTAAAATTTACCAAGTCAAAGGCAAATCAAATTCAGAAGCTTGTTTTGAACCCCATTCTGTCCCTATCAGTCAATTGAAAAGCAGACACTACTGTGACATCAAAAACCAAACTCAGAATCCTGGAAAACTCAATCATTGCGAAAGTGAGCTGATTGACAAAGTTGGGCCTCACATCATCAAAAACATGGTATCAAATATCAAATTTCCAAGCTATGGGATGCCTTAATGCTAAACTGAAGCATTCACTGGCCATAGGAGCCAAGTTTTTCTCATCTTATCAGTTATTTACAAAAGCGCAACAATCAAAATGTCCTTTAAGCTACGACGGACATTTTCCTAGACGAATGTGAAATTACTCGTGAAGTTCAAGTCGTATTACTACATAAATTTTCAAAATTATTATTCAACCTCTAATTATTCACAATTATGTAGCCTTAGACACATTGACCTAATTTTCAATGAATAATAATCAGATAAAAACAAGGACAGCAGAGGATTACTTGAGAAGAAGTTGCATATCAGGCCCCGGATACCGAATTTCAATACTACTTGAATTTCCTGGAACTGAAAATGTATTCAGACAATCCACAAAAAGCCCTAAACTCACCCCGAATCGCGGTCTCCCTTCTGCACTATATTCGTACTTCACAAAAAGCTACTTAAACAAAAATAATAATAATAAAGATTTAAAATCAATCCTAAAATGAAATAAAGATAACTTCCAAAAATTGAGTAAAAAAACTGAAAATTGGAGTACCTCTTTTTGTAAATAGACTTTGGCCTGAAGACAACTGGATTCCTCGACGATTAAAACGATGCCGTGTTCTGATAATTCCACAACTGCGTCCTAAATGTATTGTATCATAGGAAACAGAGAGAAATTAGAAAGTTAAAATGAAATGTTTGTATGGTAAGGTCTTTAGCCAGGATAATGAGAGATTGAGTGAGAAAGATCAAGAAAAACCTGATGGCGTTTCCATCGGA